CTAAACAAAGAGCAGAAGGGCTTATTGAAAAATGCAAATTCATTCTCTGCCAGCAGGTGGCACATTTCGCCAGGAATATAGCCGCTTCCCTGGTAACTTCAGTAAACAAAGCAGTGCAGCACCTGACTTTGAAACTTGCAGCTCATATTTAATCAATTAAATAGCCTTTTAAAGTGTAAGCTATATCTCATTATACATGTAAATATACATTTAAATTTATATGTATATTTAGTTTTTTTTTCACTGGAGCACCACCTGAGTCTTCTCCTCCCATTTCTACCAGTGATCCTTGTTTCCTTGACGTGGTACTACCTGCGCACATATCAGCATCACTGGGCTGTAGGTTGCCAAGTTGAGGGGACAAATGGGTTGAAATTGGTATGCGTCGATCGTGTGAGAAAGATATGTTTCATACAAGATCTGGCAACTGGACAACCTTGGAATTTGTTGTCGTGATTATTCATATAATGAGGTTTGGCCCATACAAATTACGTTTTACCGGAAGCGAACGTAGCAAACATAATAAATACGTCCAGTGGGATTTTTTTTTAATAGAAAGATTAAAAATACGGGAGAATTACGGGAAAATATTTAAACGGGATGATAGCGGGATAGAATGGTAAAATACGGGAGAATCCCGGGAAAAACGGGAGGGTTGACAGGTATGTGTCTGTTGCCTACTGTAGAAGTAAAAATGGGTCATTTTCAAAAAATATTGCCTTTCTGATATAGCAAGGTTCAGTTTTAATCATAATAAACAATTTGACTTGTGTCCCTTTGTCCAAATGTTAAGTAAAATAAAATAAGTGTTCTAACACTTATTATATTCTCACTATACAAGGTTCCAGACTGCGACGAAATTGCCGTTTGCTGTTTCTCATATGCAACAGAAATGGCAGCATGAATTTCCGTTAATAATTTATATTATTATATTGTTTTCTCTTTTGCAAACTTGTTAGACCTTACACTAACCTAAGAAAACAAAATAAATCAATAAATGAGGACAAGGGTTTTGTGTAAAACAAAATAGGGTTAAGGGAAATGCTTGTCACCATATTTTGAGAATGACTAAATTGCTAAACTCAGCAATATTTGGCACGAGTTAGATGAACTTTTGCTAGTGTTATATATCAAGCAATTGCTTGTGTGCTTACATGATACAATTTATATGATAAACTAAATGATTGTTAAATACGTAATGTTAAAAATTTATTTAATTTTTTTTCAGGAGAAAGTGAGAATGAGGTACAAGTTGACATTCATCCTTGGAGATCGACAGGTCACAGAGTCTGGAGAGATAGACAAGTTCCCTCCAGTGGAAAGATGGGGTCATTTATAGCTGTGTAAGTGTTAATACTCATGAAGACAAATAAAAAAAACACTGTGTACGTGCATGGATGAGCCGTCAGCAGTGTCACAAAGAGATTTTATGTCCAGGACTTTACCTTTGACACGCTGGGTGATAAACCCAATCTCTGAGTAATCCCACAAATGTCTTGATGTATTGGTCTTGGTCATTAGGTGCTGTCGTTATTAATATAAATATGTTGCCTATGAGTGTTTGAGTCATAATTTAATTGTTAGCCACCACTAAACTATTCAACTCATACCTCACCCTGAATGCAGTGGAGGGTTAATGTGATAGCACTGGACATGTTACATCTTTTCTTTCAATCCGTTTTCCCTTGATGTGATGCATCAGTTGTGTTTTTGTGCTTTGTGAATTCTATGGATGTATTTCATTACTATTTATCAGATTTGTGGTGTTTGACATGGCTGGCCTCAATGGTTTAAAGCCAAATTTAATTTGGTTTACATCAGATAACATTAAGTCACACAAAATGGTGCAACGCATACTTTGAATTCTGTGTTTTTGGATGTATGCAAAGTATCGGTTTCACTTTATTTCCTTTTTTACACATCTGGAAGGAATCACTTATATACAGTGTTTTTCTGATTTCTGTCTTTTTGTATATAATTGGACAGGAAGTTGTTTTGATGTTTTAAAAAGACAAACTTTACATTTTGGGGTTATTGAAGATGCCATTATTTATATTATAAACTTTGACTGTTAAAAGTTGTGTTTGCAGTGTGGTCTTATGGAAGGAATGAAAGCCTTTTCCCCCTTCTCTTTAATTTTTTTTAAATGGCTTTTTTTTTTTTACGGCAGGTTGGATGTGTCTAGTAGTGTATTTTACTGAATGATTGTGTGTGTGTGTGTGTGTGAGAGAGAGAGAGATGGGAAAAAAATCATATAAATAAAACTGACTTTCTGAATTATTTCTGAGAAGAGCTTCTTAAATCTTCCGATGATGCTGTTCTTTTTAGATTTTAAAGGAAAATCTTCAATTGAATGCAATGTATACTGTTTTAAAGACAAATAAATATGTTTTGAACAATTCTATGATTTTGACAGTGGTATAATGTGTCTGCTGTTTTTTTTTAGTTTTGCCCAAATTACGCACACTCAACTTAGCTGCTAAAATGCAGCTGGTGACATTCCTCCCTAATTTTGTCTGTCTATAAAGGTTTTTTTTTATTATTTATTTTTTTTATTCAAGGAGCAATAACACACAATAAAACAACATTAAAATAAGAAAAGTAAAAGATAGAAGGACAAATTACAACAAAAAAAAAATTGCCAGGGGGAGGAAAGTATAAAACTTCAAAACAAAAATACAAGATATACATACATACATACACTTGTACGTATATATAAAATAAAATCAATATATTGTAAAGTTCACAAACTTTCAAAGTTCTTACAGCTTTCTTATTCACAGAGTCTCTGATACTGTCAATATATATAAATATTTCAGTCAACAAAACCATAAAATTGGGTTTTTTATTGGTAAATTTGCACTTATGAATGTGAAATTTGGTCAATAGAATAAGTAAATTAATTAAGTAAAAGTACAGTTCCTCTTGGTCAGGATAGTCAGTAAAGCCAAAGAGTACATTTTCCCATAGGAGTGAAGAAGGTCTTAAACTCTGAATATTTTCGCTAATAAATTTTTGGACCTTACACCATAGTGTAACCGAGTATGTACAGTACCAAAATAAGTGCAAGGCAGTTTCCTCATACTCATTACAAAAAATACAATTTACATTTATTCCTTTTTTAAATTTTTGTAAATAATGATTTGCTGGATAAAATCTATGAATAAGCTTATAAGAAACTTCTTTAATCTTATTTCTAAGATGATATTTCTGTGGTAACAACCACACTTTTCTCCAGCAAATAAATTTTCCGTTCAATAAAGAGACCCAATGAGACAAAACATAAGGTACAGTAACAAGTCTGTCTATAAAGGTAACAGCAGGGAGGATAAGGGACAGTAATGGGACTCCGGAAATGGACCCTTTTAAATGTCGTCACGTCCGGTGGCATTACGCGCGTATCGTCTGTTTGAGACTAGTGATGCAAAGTCCGATTCATTTCCGCGAACCGGTTCTTTTTAGCAGCATCATATGACCCCTTTAAGTTAATGGTGTTTGTGGTCACAGTTTCATTCGCGGATCCTCATGATGACCAATATTGATAAGCCTACAACCTGGATAAGATTCCTAAAAGTTTCGCACCTACAGCACACATTACAGACATTGATGCAAAAATGCGGATATGTTCTACATGTCTACAGTATAAAGAATGAATAAACCAGTCTCATAAACTCCTTGATTTCGCTTAAGCAACTTTAAATATAATATGCATGCACAATAAACTATTGTAAAATGTATTTACATCACTCGACAGAAAGGTTTTTGCAGGTTTTAATAAAATGTAAAT